GTGCAAACATGTTGTAATTAGTTGTTTTGGCTGAAGGGATGGCGCAGCTGATAATATTATTGGGCTTACAGCTCCAAAGTAAATGAGCTCATTCTATTGGCATTGCATATTTGTCACTCCCCAACCAAATATGGCGTAATGTGCAGTATTTTTGAAAGCTCTAACATAAAACTATTTATAGTACTCACCCGCACATTCTTATTGGTATCTTGAGTGGATTCAAATAATCCAACATTTCAAAATCTCTTTTAACACATCCGTTCTGAGCTACTGTTAATGAATCTGTTGTTCACACTGGTAGAATCTATAGTCCTGAGAAATGCTTAAGGCTAACATTTACTGGAAAATTCCCTTCTGACTGTTTAGTGCCATCCACAGATTCACACGGTGTAAATTTAGCTATCCAGTTCCTAGGGCCAAAGGCCCCAGTCACTTGGCAGCTATCTAAAAACAAACAAGAATGTATGTACTCAATCAGGAAGTGCTTGAGAGGAAGAGTGTTACAGCTCAAACCCTCTTATTCTCATACCCTGCCCAGGAGAATGTAGGAGAATAACCTTATTATAGTTGACAACCCTCATTTATCATGTCAACCCTTTAATATACCCAGTGCAGCAGGATTCTCCTTCCTCACATTCAGATAGTCTATAAGGCTTTGGAGCATTTTATCCCCTTCTCTTTGAAGCTCTCCAGTCTCTATATTATGTGAATAAGTTTCACTGAGATCTCTAGAATCTATTCAGCAATGCCCACTATGCTCTCTGGAGCAGGATTAGGGTCTTACCCTTTTCTCTTTCCACTATTTATCTCTCTTTAAGATAAATAAGGAAGGGGACTATGGGATAGCAACCCTACTTATCTCCTTAGTGGAAGTGTGGGATCATGCTAACTCATTGGAATGGGGTGTGGAGCCATTTTTGTAGCTCAACTAAGTTTGATCTCCCCCCTGCTGGCTCAGTTGTCATACACAATAATATGCTTTCAGTGACTGTCTTTTATTGTTTTTCTTGTAGTCCATCATATTTGATGAAGTGGATTTAACAGATGCCAGTGTTGCAGAATCCAGCACGAAAAATGTTAACAACAGTTTTACAGTGAGTACCTCTGACATGAATCATATTAAGCAAGAACTTCGCTCCACCTATTAATGCCACTGAGAATGGATTGTATGTTAATCATGAACACAGGTAGCACAGACAACTGATTATTTATTGGTTAGTCAGTCAGGTAGTTATACAAATAACACTATTTGCGTTTTGTTTAAGATGTATAAATTGCATCGCCTTATTGAGTTCTACGCTAAACAGGAAACTTGCTTTGTATAGTGCCTGTCAAAACCCAGGATATCCCAAAGCACTTCACAGCCAAGTAAAAGCTTTTGAAGTGCATCCACGGTTGTAATACAGGCCAAGGTGGGTTCTGTTTATGCAGTCTAAAAAGATGAATGATCATGTAATTCTTGTAATTCATGTAATGTTAACTGAGACATAAACTTTGGCAAGAACTGCTGCTAATTGAGCCGAAGCTTTTTTTCAGCTACAGTATCGTTTAAAATCCCAGATCCCTTTCCTGTTGCAGAGATCGGAAGTAGCGAGCTGGAATGTAAGGTTGGAGGCATTACAGAAGGGCATGTGTAGAAAACTAAGATGCAGGGTAGAGGGATTACAGAGTTTCAGTTGTGAGGGGTCCTGGAGGAATGTGCAGATTTTGAATTGCACCTGTTGCATATAACACCAGTAAATTTGAGAGAACTGATTCTACAGCTAACAAAAGTTTTCATAAGGTTTTTAGTGACATTTAGGCAAATAAATTCAGTTGCTCTTCGCTAGTTTCCACCTTACAATGTTGGTGATGGGTTGAACATTGGTTTAAAGTTCAGATTTGCGTCGGTTTACAATGTAAATCTGCTTGCTCAAACAGAAAAAGATGAAAATGCAATTTCAGGCATTTAGTGGAAAACATTGTAATATAACATCAGTCTTCCTAGTATCAACATGAGAAATATTTGACTAGATTTGAATGCAAGAAATACTGAAGACCGGCTTCTTCTTTATTATTACCAAATGCCTCTCTGCAGTTAGGCTGTGTCTTCAACTTCATTTTAGGATGACAGTGGAGCAACAACAGGAAGGATAAACTGTTCCTCGGTATTTCTTACACCCAGATCTAGCCAGAATTTCACTCTAAATTTAATTCCAAGGAAGTCTCCCAATTCCTGCAGTAATTTCCAGGAAACCATCTTTATTTGGGATTTACTAACAAATGTAGTGGAATTATTTGCTATTCAGACATTTCCTGGTTTCCAACTTTTCCAATGTGGGTTTTCCCCAGGGGAGCATCAGAAAGCCCAGGCCTTTTGATATTGGTTCTGTGCAGCTATGATATAGACTTTGTCGGAAGTCACACAACGCCAGGTTATAGTCCAACAGGTTTGTTTGAAATCACAGACTTTTGGAGTGTAGCCCCTTCGTCAGGTGAAGTGAGAGAGAAGCACACAGATACAAGTTACAGGCAGAGAAAGCGAAAGATCATGCAAATGAAATGATGGAGTGTTGAATAATAAGTCTCTGCAGCTGATCACAAGTGTCAGACGGTGTGAGTGAAGTGTCAACAGCTGAATAACAAACAAAGGGATGACACATAATCCGATTAAATGAAGCAGAGAGATAATTACAAAAAATTAAAAATAAGGTGGTGCTGGAGACAAACCAAATGACTGGAATAACATGATACGCATAAGATTCGCATACCAAGGGTCTAATCAAATGATAAGTAATCCAAGCCTGTACAAACTAATTAAGGTAGAGAGATCATAACAATTTAAAAGGTGGTGTCGTCAAAACAGGACAGTAAGTAAGATTTTACAAATGCAGAACCGTGTTGTGGGGTCAGATGTAGCATGACATGAACTCAAGATCATGTTTAAGGCCGTCTTCATGGGTATGGAACTTGGCTGTCAGCTTCTGCTTGGGGATTCTGCATTGTTCTGTATCTCAAAGGCTGCCTTGGAGGACGCTTACCCGAAGATCAGAGGCTGAATGTCCTTGACCGCCGAAGTGTGCCTAACTGGGAACGAACATTTCTGTCTGGCAATTGTTATGTAGTGTCCTTTTATCCGTTGTTGTAGCGTCTGCATAGTCTCGCCAATGTACCATGGCTCAGGGCATCCTTTTCTGCAACATACAAGATAGACAACATTGGCTGAGTCACACGAGTATGTGCCATGTACATAGTGGGTGGTGTTTCCACGTATGATGGTAGTATCCATGTCGAAGATCTGACATGTCTTGCAGAGGTTGTCATGGCAGGGTTCTGTGGTGTTGTGGTCGATGTTGCCTGAAGGCTGGGTACTTTACTGTGAATGATGGTCTGTTTAAGGTTTGACGATTGAAAGCGAGAAGTGGAGACATAGCGATGATCTTGGCGAGATGCTCGTCGTCATCGATGACATGTTGAAGGCTGTGAAGAACATAGCATAGTCTGTCCACTCCAGGGAAGTACTGGATGACGAAGTGTACTCTATCGGTCATATCCTGTGTCTGTCTTCTTAGGAGATTGTTGCGGCTTTTCACTGTGGCACATCGGAACTGGTGATCGATGAGTATCTCATTCTTATGAGGACATCCTTCAAAATCTTGATGTGTCCATCACGTTCCTCCTCATCTGAACAGATCCTGTGTATGCACAGGGTTTGTCTATAGGTGTGGCTTCTTTAATATGTTTAGGGTAGAAATTAGAGAAGTGCAGCATCGTGAAGTTATCCATGGGCTTGCAGTAGAGTGAGGTACTGAGGTGTCCATCCTTGATGGAGATGCGTGTGTCCAAGAACAAGACCGATTCTCAAGAGTAGTCCGTAGTAAGTCTGAAGGTGGGATAAAACTTGTTGATAATGCTATGTACTTACTTCACTGATTCGTCACCATGTGTGTCTGGCTGAAGAACTGGTTGTTGAAGGCGAAGACGTTGTGGTCGAGAATGAGGCAGATCGGTTGTAGGTTAGCGTCTGAAAATTGGCCGTTGTTGTTAATGAGTACTGCGGCTGTTGCGGCAATGCCATCGTCGTGGGGGATGCTGGTGTAGAGTGGTGTAGAGTTCCTAGTTCGACTGGTCCGTGTGTGCTGAGTTTCTGTAAGAAATCTGTAGTATTGCGACAGAAACTGGGGGTTCTCTGTACAGTGGGTT